TTATCTCATACTACGTGGATTTCACATTGTACTTATTTGGTCAAATGAATTAATCTAATAAGGAATTGATTAATTTTCTCTCAAGCATAAAAATTTTTAGGAAATTAGCCAGGGATTTTTAAAAATCTCAAACACGTAGCCTGAAGCTTATTCTTTATTTCTCTCTCTTCTTCTCTCTCTCTCTCTCTCTCTCTCTCTCTCTCTCTCTCTCTCTCTCCCTCTCCCTCTCCCTCTCCCTCTCCCTCTCCCTCTCTTTCTCTCTCTTTTTGTACTAGGGATCAAACTCACAACCTTGCACTGACCAGGCAGACACTTATGACACTGAGTTAAATTCCTGGCCCCTGAGGCTTATTCTTAAAATACATCTTCTGACTTGTATTATGCCAGTCTCATCAGGTGCTGCTGAGAGGTCTGTGGCACAGGCTATATTCCTGGAGCTTGTGAAGAGTGTCTCCCTAGGCGGGCATGGAAAACACACCCCAAATCCTAGTACTCTGAGAGACTAAAGCAGGAATACTGTAATACCCAGTCCAGCCTGGGCAAATCAGTGAGCCCTATCTCAAAATAGAATTTTAGAAACGGGCAGGGGATATAGCTCAGAAGGCCCTATGTTCAGTTCACAGTACCCCCTCCCCGAGTCTTCTCACCTTCCTGTCTGAGAAGGCTCCCCCTTGGTCTGCCATACAAGTAACATCTATATTTCAGGAGGATTCAGAATTACATGTAGATATATACCTGTAGTTTGCTGTATTTTTAACTTTATTTGAACCTTTAATTCTGCATTCCTCAGTAATGGTCTTTGTACTTGTAAATGTTGTAAATATCACTTGAAATGACAATGATTCCTTAGAAATCTAATATGCAGATAATGATTCTTTAGAAATTCCTCCATAGCAAGTGGCTCTCTTGACTGGGATACACAGAAGTTTGATTATTATCTCCAGGTTACCCTAACTTTATTGCTACAAGGATTTATTATAAAAGTTTATTATAAATACCTGTTATATTTTATTATTTTTAGATGTAAACTCACTTCAAATATAGACAACATTAGAATTCCCCCTCTATTTTTATAAAGACAAGGTCTTCCTTTGTGGTTCAGGCTTGCCTTGAACTCATTACATAGCTCAGGCTGGCCTCAAAGTTGTAGCAATCCTGCCTCCCAGGTACTGGGCTTACAGACATGCACCACCACACCTGGTTTCAATTGACTGACTGATCTAGCTACCTATCTATCTTTTTAAAAATTTTTATTTAAAAAAGACTAAACAAAACAGAAAACAGGTAGAAATAATACATACTTTCAAAGAAAAAATAAACAGTAAGAAATCACTACTTGATGATTACATATTGTCCTCTTACCAATAGTTACGAAGTGGGGATTCAAACAGTGAGACTGCAAACTGCTCTGTTCAACTATCCGTCAAAAACTTAGTAATATGGTTATTAATCCTATACACTTAAACATACGTGCAGTTATCCATATCTTCATTTATGTTCAGATTAAACAAACAGAAGCAGGCTAAAATCACTCTGAACAAAGAATAGTATTGCTGGATTTCACATCATGACACTACGTGATCTTTCCTGGGTACTGTAATGTCTCTTTTTCTTCAAAGTTTTTGTTCATTTCATCATGCGTTATAAGATCAGTTCACATAACTGTTTATACGTTCTACGCATGCATGAGTTTCTACATGTATTTTTATCCTTTCTATATTACAGGGAGAAACAAAACAAAGCTAGACAAAACAAAACATATTCCTATAAACACATGAAACGAAAAAGACATATAAAACCACTGTACAAGGAATTCTACCATAGTTACTGTGTCGTCTCTTGCTACCTTCAATAGAATTGTCTGTATCATTAGACATAGTATAATTGAATATAGCAGTACATAACAATATTAATAAAAACACAACTTTGTAGATAGTATAAAACTTCAGAAACAGGTAGTAATCAAACCAGAATGGGTACCATAGTGAATCTTGTCATCTTCAGTATAGTTGCCTATACTCTCAGACTTGATACTATCAATCATAACCAGTTTGGAATAAAATCTGTCGATACCAAACAGCAATCAAACAAACCAGATTTAACTAAGATCAGTCATGATAAAACCCAGTATAAGTCATACAGGGCTCTAGATTAAGATAATAGGAAATTAAAGATGACTACTGTGCTATATCCTGATGTTTTTGGGATAGCTGTCTGTGCCCTCAGATCTAGTGCAAGTAGACAAATTGGGACAGAATAAAATCTATCTAAGCAGAGCGGTGCAAGTAGTATGGGTTTTAAATCCTGATATACTATTAACAATAACTTCTGCCATCTTTTTAAAAACCATTCCTTCCCTTTCACTCCCCCAGGGTACACTGTGCATTTTTGGGTCTCACCAACACCCTCTGTTTTTAGATTGGGGGAGGGGCAACCTGCTATTTGCCTAAGTGGTTCTGAACCTTCTCTCTCCTGGACTTGATCTCTAATTGTATTCCTTTACCTATTAAAGCCTGTCTTTCCAAACTACCCACAAATACTGGTCTAGTTGCCCCTATTACTTTCTAGTTCCCTGTCACATAGAGCATTGTTTTCTCATATTTGATTTTCAGTCCTTTGATTTTAAACCCTTTTTCAGGTTAATTATATCTCCTATAAAGAGCATCTCAGTGGACCTCCTGAGCTACTCTGCCTGTGTTTCTCTCTCTCTTTTATTAGTGTATCAAGGCCATCTATATTAGAGATTATGACCAACCTTCTCTGCCTCATTTCTGTTGTGCTTTTTTCTGCCATTTTTCTTTTCTTCTTCATTCCACTTTCTGCCCCATTCACTGAGGTCTCTCTGCCACTGTTCCTGGAATCCTGATACTTTTCTCTCTGTCTCAAATGTCCGTCAGTATTCTCTGTAGAGTTGGATTGGTGGTTGTGAATTCCCCCAGTTCCTCTTTGTTTTGGAAGCATCTTGTTTCTCCATTAATTTCTAGAGATAGTTTTTCAGGGTACACCAATCTGGGCTGGAGGTTATTTTCTTTCAGGGCTTAGAATACTTTGCTCTAAGCTCTTCTTGATTTGATGGTCTGTGTCAAGAAGTCTGCTATGATACTGATGGGTTTTCCTTTATAGGTAATCTGTTTTTTTTTCTCTGACTGCTTTTAATAATCTGTTCTTATATTGAATATCTGGGATCTTGATTATTATATGCCTGGGTATTGCTCTGTTTTGGTTGTAGGTGGCTGGAGTTCTGTATGCCTTATAACATCTGAATATCATTTCTTTTTCCTATGCTTGGGAAGTTTTCCTTAATTATTTCTGTGAATAGACTTTGTAGTTCCTTAGTTTGTACCCCTGCTTAGTTTGTACATTCTTTATTCTTAAGTTATAGATACCCTTGTCATCTTATAGCCTTTGTATTGTTACTGCCTATTTCCTTATTATTTTTAAGAAATTTTTTCTTTCATGATCCCACATTGCAAACCATCTTCCAGTTTGGATAATCTAACGCTAGTTTCTTTCAAACAGTTTTGCCAGCTTTCAATGGAGTTTTTTATTTGCTGATAATCTCTTTGAACCTGCTTCATGTATTCTACATTTTCTTTATATTCTTCATCAAACATTTCTCTCTTTCTTTTTTTGCTCCTCCATTCTTCCATCTGTGTCTTCTTGAGAGGTGCTTAGCATTTCTTTTGTTAATCTACTTATATCTTGCTTTACTTGGTTAAATATTTCACTTTTGAACTCATCTATGAGGTCCTGAAGATATTTCTTTATGTCCACTGGTGATGTGTCTGATATTGCATGTTTACTGTTCTCAATCTCTTTTGTATCTGGGACTCTCCATGCTGTTATTTCGGCATCTGAGTTGTCTACCTCAGGAAGCCTCTGTAATCTGCTCTTATCTATCCACCATCTTTACCAGAAGCCATGTCTGGCTAAATGGGTGTGTGTGTGTGTGAGACAAAGTCTCACTATGCAGTTCAGGCTGGCCTTGGGCTCACTTTGTAACCCAGGCTTGTCTTGAACTCGTAAATGATTCTCCTGCCTTAGCCTCACAAGTGCTGGATTACAGGCATGTGCCACCATTCCCAGTTTAGGCTAAATGGATTTTAATAGATGATTTTTTTTTTTTTTTTTTTTGGTACTGGGGATCGAACTCATGACTTGCTTGCCAGGCAAGTGCCTACACCACTGAGCAAAATCCCCAGCCCTTAAATGGATCTTAAAACGTGAATCAAATTCACTTGAGAAGCTGGGTGTGGTAGCACATGTCTGTAATCCCAGCACTTTTAGAGACTGAGGCAGGAGAACCACTACTTTGAGACAAACTTGGGCAATTCAATGACTTAGCAAGATTGTCTCAGAAGAAAAATTAAAACAACTGGAGACTTATCCTGGTGTGAAGGCCCTGGTCCAATCCCCAAAACTCCCTCATCATCATTTTGGAGACTTTTCAATAGTAATGCTAATTAATGTTACTGGCTATGAAGAGCATAATAAACTGAATATGTGGTAAGCTGAAAGAGTTTTTCAGATAACAAAATGTACTTTAAGTTTCAAAAAATGGCAAGTGCAAGGTTGTGAGTTCAATCCTTGGTACCCCCACCAAAAAAAAAATAAATTTCAAAAACTTCACGTACTAATTTTCAAAGGCAATATGATGAAATTCAAAAAAAGCTTTCCTATAAAGAATATACACTATAATTTGGGCACTGGGAGAGACTTCAATTAATACTTTGATATGTGTCTGTGGTTACTACCACACACACACACAAAGTATCATTTTTTTAAAAAAAATTCAATATATCCTCTTCTCCAATGCATGGTAAACAAACCAGCAACCCTTTCTATCCAACCAAGAAGGATTCCAAAACACCAAAACAGAACAAAAATATAACTCTTGATTGTGGTTACCCCCAACTGTTAAATTTAAGAGGAAGAACATGCATTACTTGTATTCTTCAGTTAAGAGATTAAAAATCTACAAGACAGGCAGCATTTCATACCTCTAAAATCCCTTTCCTCTTCTTTTCTTCGCTGTCTGTGAACCCGCTTATTATCTGGAAGCAGTCTCTACAAACTTTGCTCCATTTCCCGCCATCGTACTCCAGTTGAGCTTTGTAGTCTGAACACTTCCAGCAAACCACCTGCAATTTTAAAAAAGAAAAATGAAGAGTGAAACATCACACTCAAACTTTTAAGCAACATTTCATTCTAGGTAATAATGACAAAAAGTTAGACAGCCAAGGTCGAGTTTTACTGGACTGAGCACACCGCCACGGGGCCACAGTGCTATCTGCCACTGGCTCTGCACATCATTTTCTCCCCAGCTTTTCAGAGCCTCTCCATCCAGATCCTGTTCTTCTGGATGCTCCATGAATAGTCTTCCAAGATGGAACTGAAGGTGCTCTCTGCCCTGGGCTTCCCCAGCCAATCTGGCCTGCCCTCCAGGCTTCCCTATGGTGAGGACAGAAGGCACAGCCACCTAAGCAGCTAAGGCAAGTCTCTTTCACCTCAGTTACTGGCTCCTTCCTATAATGTTAAGTCTCGCTTATACACATCTCCTAAATATTCTGTCAGTCATCTGTTTAGGTCTTCATGGCAATCACCTGAGTCCACGCTACTGGTGTTCCAGCGGGGCCTGTTTTTGCAGCCTCTGTGCTGGACCTCAGTGCATTCCTACTAGCTTCCAGTCCCGTACTTCTCTACCCCATTCCAAGTTTGTTTGTTTGTACTGGGGATTGAACTTACAACCTTGCACTTGCCAGGCAGGTGCTGTGGCACTGAGCTAAATCCCCGGCTTCCTCCAAGCAAATTTTCAAATGGGGCTGGATGTTCTCTTTAAAATGCTGCTCTGATGTGTTCCTCTTCTGTTTAAAATCCTTTAGTCTTTTGTAGTTCCTGATTAAGGAAACACTGCTAATCAGTGCCATAAAATGGTTTCCTCTCCTTCCTCTGCTCTGAATCTTCAGTGGCGGCTTCCAATTGCCCTTGAAATGCTTTCTCCCCTCTCTGCTTCAGCTCCTCAGTGGTCCTCACCCTTCCACACTGGCTTGACTTTCGCTTCCTCGAGGATGATGCCTCATCTTCCAGAACAGCACAGATGACTGTCCCTGTACTAACTATGCTCCCTGTATTTTTATTTATAGCACTGACTAAAGTTTTTAATTATATTATTGTGTGGCTATTTCACTGTGTGTCTCTTTATTAGGCTATAAAATGCAAGCAGAGATTGTCCTTGGCTAATTTGCTTCCCCTGGCACATCTAAAGAATGCCCACGAATGAACAGTTGTGTCACACAAACAGTAAGTCAAAAACCAGTCTTAAAAAAAGAAGAGGCAGCAGTGGTGATGCACATTGTAATCCCAGCATTCTGGGAGGCTGAGACAGAAAAATCCCAAGATCCAGCCCAACCTGGGCAAGATTTGGTCTCAATAATGAAAAATGAAGAAAGCGTCTAGAGATATAGCTCTGTGCGAAGCCTTGAGCTCAACTCACACTTTCAGGAAGTAAAAGGTGAAGAATAAATCTGAAGCAGAATAATTGTTGACCCAAGCATGATGGTACACACCTGCAATCCCACCATTTGGGAGGCCGAGGCAGGAGGACAGGCGATTGAAGGACAGACTGGACAACAGAGACCCTGCCTCAAAAACTAAAAAAAGCACACAAATAATATTTTATATCATGACACTGGATTGCCTTCTGCTGTGTTCATTCTTTCCTAAGAGAACTGATAAAGCTCCTCCAGATCACTGCTTCAAGTTTAGTTCCTCTCCACACTTTCTATTGTAACAGTGGGATGGCTGATCAAACCACATTCAAGTTTGCTTCTATACTGTATCACTGCTTTTTCTTACAGTGGGGTCGGAAATATATTTTTTAGGTAAGTAATTTAAAAATTCATAAATAGGCATCAAACACAAAAAAATATTTAAAAACATGGGCGTTTTTATGTAAGTTTATAGAATTACTGATAATAGTTGGGGATATAGCTCAGCAGCACAGTGCCTGCCAGGCAAGTGCACGGTTGTGGATTTGATCCCCAGTACCAGAAAAAACAAAGCAAAACCCAGCATATAGAAAAATTGCAAAAACTCATAGAATGGAGTCATTCTAAAAGTATATAAGACATGTTTGAAAAAAGAATGGCAAACAGCAAACGCTACCAAAAATTATCAGGCAGACCTTAGAAGAAACTTTTGGTAAAAATAAAGCAAAAGAAAGAAATAGAAGAACTAGAACAGCAGATTAACTACAACTGAGGAGAATAAAACAGATGAAAGTGGATAAAATGATTTTGCTATTTTTCATGTCAGCTGATGGCTCACTGTCATTCACTCAGTCCTGAAAATCATCTTTCTGGAAGTTGTTCTTGACTTCTTGTCTTTCTCAACTCTGAATCAGCTCCCTGTCATACTTAATTAGATCTCAGCATTCTAGGGTAGCACACTTGACTCTCGATGACCTGGCCTCTCCTTCTCTAGCGACCCACTCTTGCTGGTCTCTGCCCTGCACCTGTATCCAGCTATATCTCAAGTACGCCTTGAGTCAAGTGTGTAAGGGTCACTGGGGCTGCCACCCCTAGGACACCTGCCACCATCTGGGACCACAGCAACTGGTCTTGTTGCTCCTGCTCATTCAGAGGCAGCAGGATCAGCATCTCATGATTCAGTTTCCAGAAGAAAGCCCACTTCTCTAGTTGTGTGGCTGGGTTCATCCTGTACAAACTGCTCTGTGTATAATCTAGTGCAGTCCCCCACTTCCGCTTCTTCCCCCAAACCCTCAGGGCCTGCTGGAATTCTCCCTCTGGGCCCAAACCCTCTACATCCTTAGCGGGGGGGCTGCTTTTTCTCTCTCTTCACCATTTGCCCTTCTCAGAACCTCAGGGCTGAGAGCTGGGGTTTGTATCCTTTGACACTTTTCTTGCCTTCAGACGTCCTAGATACCCATTATTGCTCATTCTGTTCACTCCCCCTGCTGAGCTTTCCATGCCTCAGCATGTACTTTGACCCCATCAATCTTGAATTTATAGCTCAGGGATTTATCGCAATGCCGGGTGACTCCAACCTTCACCCAGGACTCAGTCACCTCCTCTGATCGAAGTCCCTGTTGCCACTCAGAACCATTGTCTGGCATCTTCTTATCTGTCCATTCCCATGGTCACTCCTGGACTGTGTCCTCAGCAAAGGCTGGGCCACACTGGACACGCCAAGTTCAGACAACCATTCTTTCACCACCACTCCTCGTACTTCTCGTTTGCTGGCCTGCAGCTCTCCACTACCATGCAGCTTTGAAGTTACACAAACCCTCCACCTACGGACTCCAGCATTTTCTTATCCTCATTGGTGGACCCTCCCGACCTCCCTAGGCAACTTGGGCCAGGGAGGGCAGCCCAGCCTGGGCAACTTGGGCAAGACCTTGTTTCTTAAACATAAGATAAAAAATGGCTGGAGCGCACACACCAGCTCCTCTGGGCATTATCTCCCTGTTTCTCGGGCCACACGTCCCCTTACTCGGCACCTCCCAGCCACGCAGATCTCACACCTGTCCCTTTGCCAGCTAGCCTAGACTTCCCTTATTCATTATTAACTCGCCTATGCAGGCAGCTCCATCTCTCCCACTGGTCTTTCTCACAATATAGGTTCTAGATGAACCCTGGCACTTGCCTTTCATGTCTGAGTTACTGCAATATGTTAAGAGAAAAATGACTGCCCTTTACATTTTAACTACACTTTAAATGGAGTCACTCTTCTTGGGCTGGAGAAAATTTTTTTGATACTCTCCACCACCCCTTTTCCTTTCTCCTCTACTTTCAGCTCAAACTGCCTCATTCTTAAATAAAAAGATAATATGGAACCTATATTCCCTCATTTCCCATCATGAAAACAAAACATCCAGCCCATCTCTATGTACATGTGCACCCAGCTTTCCCTCTCCTGCTATCATGGAGCATGTTCCCTTCTCCCCACCTGAAGCTTAATCTCCAAGGTACTGCGACTTCCATCTCTTTTTGTCTTTGCAAAGACATCAGCTCCCTCTGGGAGCCTGAAACAGGAGGATCGTAAGTTCAAGCCCAGCCTGGGCAACTTGGGCATTATCTCCCTGTTTCTTGGGCCATAGTCCCCTTACTTGGCACCCTCCAGCCACCAAGATCTCACACCTGTGCTACCTCCCCTCCCACGGTCAAGCTTTCCCACCTTTGGGCAACAGCACAAATAACAACCCCTTGAAGAGTTCTTTTTCCTAATTAACACTGGTTCCAAGTCCTCCCTTGGATCCAGAGGTTCACATACTCTATGTGAACCTCTGGATCACTTTCTTAGCCCACCAACAGTTAACGTGAGTCTCAGTTGTGTCTTTTCTGTGTGACAGTGGCAGCTGTATGAGGCAGGAACCCCTGGGTTCCCTGAGTCCTCAGTCCCACTTACATATCCGCAGGCTCGGCAGTGGTGCCGCCTCCTGGTCAGCGCGTTGAAAGACTCTTTGCATTTCATGCACATGGTCACTTCATTATCCCGGATCCACCGCGGGGCTCTTTTCCCTAGCTCAGCAGTCTGGAAAGGAAAGAAATTTTAACTCTAATGAGGGGAGGGAGGGTAAATCCCTGTAATTCCCCTTTATTATTTTTTTAAAAGCACTGTCACTAAATTGTGTAAGCTACGTTCTGAAAGTCCAGAACCAGAAAAAGAAATAAAAATTTCAAAGAGTTCTACGAAGTGTGAAGGTGGTACTCACCACCACCATCTGAGGGAGAGAGAGATTCTGCCTCCACAGTTCTGGCATTGCAAAGGGAAAAGGCTGGCTAATTAAACAATCAGATATGTCTTTTGCAAATGTAGAGAGATAAAAGAGTTTAAAGTTAAGAATTTAATTCAACTTACAGAAACCTCAGAGTGAATATCATTATCCTTTGCACTTGCATTTCTGAAAGTTTCATGCCTTTGATGAAAAGCATCAATAGTCTCTTGAAGGGCCTAAAATATAAGTGAAATTCAAAGCACACATTAAAGTAGTACATGAAAATCAATGAACAGACTTTATTAAATAAATACCTATGATGAGAATCATCTTTAAAATAAAACAAACTTGTTCTGATGACTACATATTAAACAGAACAATATCTGCAAATTCATGTACGCAGAGAGGGGTCACCAAGAAACCAAAAACAGAAGTCAGGCTTACCTTGATCCATTCTTCTTTGTCTTGCTCAGAACTAAAACAAACAAAATTAAAGTAAATGCAGAGAACATTAATGAACTGCACCTAGTGAATAAAGCTATGCTTTAACGTTGTTCCTGTCTGGAAAATCCAAGTTGGGAGGTCCTTGACTGCAATAAAAATTAAACAGAATCTCTGGCAACTGAACAAAACAATTCTTCTTAAACACAGTAACGGGCAGTCCAGTAAGGCTGGTACTTATAAACTGTGAGGCAGAGAGTTACTTTAGCTCCCATTAGTACAGTGCCTAAAGTAAGTTTAACCACCATCATGTTGTCAAGTCTATCAAGTGACTATGTACACCTAACATACATTACAACTGCTTACCTTTCAATTTTCTGAAAGACATGAAGGCTTTTAGAGCCTACTAGTCATAGTCTGTCTTAGAAAAAAATTACCTATATTTGAGAATCTAAAAATCTTCATAGGGCCTTGGAGAGCTATTTAACATTTCCTTTGAGAAACAATTTAACCTTATTTGCCTATTCCTAGGAGGCCTCCAGTAATATCATACTTAACTCACTATAAGTAAAACAGGGCAGACAGTGTAAGCATTTTCAACGTCTGCAGGAAGAAGGTTTTCACAGATTCCGGGAGTTTGTAAATCTCCTTAGGGAAAAAATGTCCTTCACTGTAGTCAAGTTTCCCTTTTCCAGGTAAGGCAAATTTTATATCCTCTCCTTTACAAGAAGTGTGTAGTGGGCCATTGTCCTATACTGTGTCTGAAATAGTCCCATAAGGAGACTCCAAACTGGGTAACAACTCTGAAATCTGAATGGTGTCAAAGAATGGCTTTATTTGTTGTGGTTAGAAGGCTACAGCTAAGTGTGACTTCCAACCTGAAAATGTCACCTGCCTCATTCCACAGGAAAAAGTACGCATGAGACAGCTGGAGGCTGGCCCCTGCAGCACCAATACAGTGCCCAGAATGCTGGTGGAGTCTGTCTCAGGGGAGATTCTGCTTACTGCCCACCTGGGGCCTTCACATCTACTCTCAAACATAAAACCAACAGATATAAAACAGAAAGCACTGCCCTACTGCCCTGCCATACCACCACAGCACTGCTGCACTGCAGGATAGTCACTTCTTAACCGCTTGTAGTCTTTTAAAGCAGACACAGAACCTTGACAAGACTTTCATAATGCCTTTTGTTTTAGTTCTTTATTCATGATAGGTTTTTCTAAGTCAGAGCCTGCAGCACAGATCCCACTTTCATTGCTTGAGACCTGAGTGGCTGGGCCCTAAATCCTGCTATGGGGTAGAATAATCATTCCCTTCGAAGTCATGTCCTCCACCTTTTAATTTGCACTTGAATTGTTACCTGCTCTTTTTCAGAGCAATTTCCTGTAATGGGGAAGGAGTGTCTCAATAGATATTCTTTGTGAGAAATCAAAGAACTGGCTATTTTTTCAAGCTTTTTCATTCTGCCGTATCCTCCCAAACTGAAATTGTACCCATTTGTAGATTCCTGGGCATAGACAGATTCCTGATAACATTATTTATTCTACTGTGAAAGTCAACGCTGACAAATTCACCTGAGCAGTCACAACCACATGCCCATGTGCAAAAGAACAGGAAACTCTCGGACCCTGCATGGCTTCGGGAAGTGAAACCTCTAGAACCAGGATTGGTACTGTGTCACAGTCAGATCTGACTTTCGGGATATTCAGATTTCATGATTCCAGGCCTCTTCCGGCTACATGGACAGCTGTCTTCTAAAGCAGATCATTTCAATACCTAATGGCACGTTAACTTCCAGAAGTCTAGGCCCAAGGAAGCCAGCCATGATCTGCACTGCTATGTTCCTTCCACACCTCCCCCAAGCACAGGCACGTAGGGAGAAGAGCAGCCCATGCGCCATCCCCTAGAGGTCCTATGCCACGGGCCACCTTAGCAAATAGCCTCCTTCATGATTTCTACAACCGTGGCAGAAAAGCCACTGTCCTGACCAAACGCCCCAGCAAACATTTCTGTCTCTGGTAATGCTCCACTCTGCCCCAGGACTGCAGAGCCTCTGGAGGACTCAGTTTACTATGGATTATTCATCAAATAAGCATTTGTGGGCCAAAAGGAAGGAGGAGGGACTGAGAGATACCCTTGTCCTTCAAGTCTGAAGATTCTAACTTGATTGTAACACCTGTCCCCAGAGTACTTTGTCACTCTTAGGGAGTCCATCAGTTGACTGAATGCCAAGTGTCTACAGACCCTGCCCTGGGCACTGTGCAGGAGCCAGAGCTGACGTAACATCTGTCTTTCAAGCACTTCCCACTCTCCATTTCCATCCCATCCGATTCCCAGAGGTCTCCAGGAGTAACTCAGCGCAAACCTTGCCCTGATACTTGTTCTGATGTTCTCAGGAAACCCCGTGACAGGCACAATTTTCGTACCTGGCCTGCAGTTCCAGTGTTCGCTCTTTCCCAGACACCTGGAAAGTATGTGGATACTCTTCATTGTGAGTCTCTATGATTTTCATTCCATCAATTCCAACCCTGTTCCGCACCGTGAATTTTGAGCCCACCAAGCTGAATTTGGGCACACAGTACAGCAACATGTTGTTGAACTGCAAGGAAGCACAACATATCAATAAACAGAAAAAAAAAAAAGAAGAAAAACTGACCAATATTACAAGTAGCCTTAGAAAGCCTACTGGAGTGTCCAGAGAATATGGTACTTCCTATGGAAACAAGTCACTACCACCCTGACATTTTACACCTGTATTAACAAACATCATAGTCTCAAAAATTTAAAAATATATTTTCCTTTCAGGGCTCAAATATTTAATTAACATTTACATAAAGCAATTGCTTTTTTATATGAGTGCTTCACCAACAATTTGGTAACAATAAATTCAGTCACAATTTACTGAGGATCTTTGATGTACTGGCAGTTGAAGTCATTTTGTGTGTATCTGTATGTTGGGGGGAGTACTGGGAATTGAACACACAGTCTCACGCATGCTAAACAAGCATTCTATCACTGAGCTACATTACTATCCATGAGCTGGAGTTCTTCAAAGGTAAAATCCTTACCACAATTTCTAATTATTGTGCCTTACAAGGCAAGCACACAATAGCTGTTAGCAGAGTAATATTAATTTTTTTTTTACCAAGGTTTCATGTGTCTTTTTTTTTTAAAGGAGTCAATTCATTAATTCCATCTACATTAGCACATTAACTTTATCTAAAACAGCAAATCACATGGCCAAGTTCTCTTTCTTTTCTTTCCTCTTTTTTTGCTGAGTAGGAGGGTTGGAAAGATGCCAGGTTGGTCTTGAATTCCTGGGTTCAAGTGATCCTCCTGCCTCAGCCTCCAGAGTACCTGGGATCACAGAAAGGTACTACCACACCTGGTTTGCCAAGATCTCTACTTTTCATGGTATCTTAGTATTCTTCAAAAGTGTAGCCTTATAAGTCCTTGAATCTTACTACCTATGAAAAATTACAGAAAAGCTATCAATTTTATCAAGAGTTCTTTAAAGATAGGGCCTTATTTTTCATAAGATACACTTTTGATATGAAGGACTTTATGTTGATACTAAATCAAATTATCTATCGTGCTCTATTTTCAGGTCAACAATGGACAGCTTTTGCTAACTAGGACTATAAGGAATATATTAAAGGTTCACATAATATAAATTTCCAATGACTTTGTAAAAACACTTCATTTTGAGTATGTCAGAATGCAACTAAATATTTAGGTTAATTCAAAATTACTGTACGCTTACATGTATCTTTCTAAGATAAAGAATAATTAGGAACAAAATTTATCTTTGAAGATTATTTTTCCAACAGCATGTGCCTTAATTCCACGATTTTTATTTTACTTCACTTTCTCAACTTGTTACTTTTCAAACTTTCTGTAAGGCTTCACTTTGAGTAGGATTTCAGCTGAGTGTTATTTATTAGTGCAGGCACAGAGGCTCTAAATGTATTCAGTCCACCATCTACACACACGCACATACCTACACACACGCACACACCTACACACGCACATGGTTTATGAGCTGTGTAAACTCTCACTCCTTAGGATTATCTGCAAACATCATGGGACACAGGGAAGACTAAGCTAGGCAACAAAAGTGAAGTATTTACAACAGTGCTTTTCACATACAAGGTGCTTTAATTCAACAAGCTGTCGAGTTTTACGCTCTTCTGGGGTCTGGTTCTAGATCTTTCCTACCAGACTCCCAGCTTAGTTCCATGCTGTCTTTCAAGATAGGAAGGGTCCATGCAGATTGAAAACATCCTACGGCATTTATGTGACTCAGCCTACTGCACTCATGCTGAAAACACATTTCTCTCAGGTGGTTCCTCGTTAGTCCTTTTATAAAGTCCTATAGCCACTGACATCAATTTGAATTCCACACTGGAGAATACAGAAACAAAAGTGCACTGAATACAATTTTAAAAGGATCTCAGGGCCACAGATTGACATTTCTGGGAGAGGACTGATACCTTTCACTGTCCACCTTGTCCCCAAAATAACAGCCACAGACTCGTCATAGTGCACGAGATCCGAAAGAATTCCCAAAGGTTTCCGTCCGCCTCAGAGTCGCCTGAGGGATCCTGTCTACTAACTCTTCAAGACACTGTTTATTCCCTTTTGATTCCTGGCCTCCTTAGGTGGTGAGTTGGCCACCATGGTGCACAGCGCAGGGACTACAGAGCCATGAGGAACAGGGCTCACACTCTGATGCCATCGATGGTACCAAGTTGTTCTATATGCCAGGTGACAAAGGCAGTGTCTGACTCTTCTGCTCCTTCTGTTTGGCTTTGTTATTTTACAGAAAGGTCAGCATATGGGCATGGAGGCTTCTAGCATTTGCCTTCTGTACTTAAACTCTCAGAAGACGACAGACCATCTTGTAGATCTGTTTCTCTTTTCTCTCAATCATGCTTTCAGGACTACATTCTTCCTTGGTGGGACTTCATTGTCTAAGCTACTAGTCACTACCTGTTTACCTTAAAGAATCCAGCCTACAATCTACTGCTAGTCACTACGGTTCTTTTATCAGAGTTAGAAATGAGAGCTCTTACATGATAGAAAATATTGCTTATAAAAAATGAGACCGTGTAAAAAGTTAAAGAACAGATCTGGTTCCATTTGAGAGTCTTTCTTCTGTAGCAAAAGTTTCCCTCAACCCTGGACTGCCCTTAATACTGAAATAAGTTATTCTCTTTCACCATAGGAGGTTTCTTTTCTTCCATGCCCAGAGCTCAGGAGTGGTGCCTGACCAAGCAATTGCCTACTGCAAGAAAACCAATCCAAATCCTAGGTTGTGACAAAATCTAGAAACAAATCTCAATCTTAAAGGGGAGGTGGGGCTGTTCAAACACTTCAAACCCTTCTACAACATATTTATTTCACTGCAATGATTCAATTTTCTGTTTTCACCAGAGATAATTACATAACATTTTAGAAGGCAATTTATATTTTTGAAGGCAGTTTATAGCGCCTGTTATGTGTTCAAAGTTCAGATAGGTCAAACGAAACTCTTTTCAGGCTACAATGAAACAAAGAACAGAACTACTAAAAAAGGTCTAGAACAAAAACTCTTCAGTCATTCTGTGAGATAATTTAGCGGTTTATTTTTCAAACCTTCAAATGCCAGTATGGTGATTTAGTCAACAGAGAGCCCTACATTAACATAAAGCAAAACAGTACTGTGTGAAGGCAAACAGATATGCAAACGTGGGAAAATAATTTAAATGTAAAATTAGATTCTAAGTATAATTTGGCTTTTCAGAGTAGGAAGCAGAAAACTAGCCCTCATTTTCTTCCTAGAGAAAGAAAAAGGAAAAAACTGGTATTTATGAGGTTGCTACTTATAGGAGGACAAGATGTTTCCAAGGGTAAATGTGACAAGTGGTCTCAGTGCAGGTGGGTGAAGTAAATGAACACTACACTGGATATGCTCCCAGGACCAGCACGGAAGGGGTCATGGTTTCCTGCCACGAACCCTACTTGGGAAGGCACTAGTGTGACAGGTCTGAGAGCTGGGAGGAAGTGAACCAGAAAATGAGATAGGTGTCACCGTCAGTGTCCCTGAATGATGTGTCCTCTGAAGGCTCTTTGCAGTCTCTGCCAAATACCAGCTTGCTTAACATAGTCAGTCTAAAATTATTCCCAGAATAATTCTCCATTGTGACATTTAAATCAAAGCAGTTGCTGAGTCACAGAAATTGGTTTCGAACCTAAGACACTCATTCTGAGCTACGCCTCCAACCCTTTTAAGTTTTGAGATGAGGCCTCACAAAATTGCTCAAGCTGTGTTAGAATTGCAATCCTCCTACCTCGGTCTCCCAAGTGCAGGGATCACAGAAGTGCCTGACCATGGTCATTCAGAACTAAAAGTTTAACTATAGCGACTCTAACACTGATGAGGAAGAGGAGAAAGGAAAAGGACTTAGCATGTGAGACATACACACAGAGCAGACATGGATTCTCAGGATTTGGGCTGCAATAATGTGTTAAGGGTGTCTTGATGCTTTGACATCTTCAGGCCTTGCTGACACTGATGGGACTGATGCTTCCAGGGATATTCAATTCCTTGAGATACTAAACGACTCTTGTGGGAGCACATCCTCCAGGCAGACACCAACCAACCCACAGCCAACAGCCTCAGCCTCTCTCTCCATCAAGCTGGGCCACTACTTCCCTGGCCTTGTCACCAGAGGCCAGTGCCGGACAGCAGCCCTAAGCCTGTGTGTCCTATGTGTCCTGTGTCTTCATTCTGCCTCAGTGAAAGGGCAGAACTCTGAATCCTGACATGATTCTAGTATAGCCTCAGTTTCTGTTCTTTAGCACAGATGGGGATTTTCAAAGTTAACCTGAGTCATACCTATATATTTTCTGGTAGCGGGGTGGTGGGGATTGAACCTACGGTCTTCACACTAAGCTATACCCCTGGCCTTTAATTTGAGATAGGGTCTGAGTCACTAAGGTGTCCTAGCTGGGCTCCAATTTGTGATCCTCTTGCCTCAGCCTCTCAGAGTGCTAGGATTACAAGTGTGTGCCATGCTTAGCTAAAAAACCTTGTGGCCACTTCCCTCTCCACATTGGCCCTAGGGAAACACTAATTACATCCTATCTCTATGAATATGTACATTCTGGACACTTCACACACAGCGGTATCTAGGTTCATGAACTCAGTTCTTCCCATGATTCTGGTCACAAACCAAACTGGATGAGGAGAATCAAATCAAATTTCCTTGTAAGGTCAACATTGAACTTAACTGTTGAATTTGCAACCAGAATTGCGAAAGAATTGAATTTGTGAACTGAGGCACTGGCTGGACTCATACAGGTCCTGGCCTTTTGTGACTGCCCTTCTTTCACTGGCAAAATGTTTTCAATATGCATTTCAGCCCATGTAATGCATCCACATTTTCCTTTTTGTTGACCTACAATACTTCACTGCATGGAATACACGTTTTGTTTATGCATTCAACAGCTGGTAGACATTTAGGTTGCGTGTTCTTTTTGGTTATTACAAATAATTCCACAACATAATATCAGTATACAAGTTTTTTTTTTAAAGTTAAACAAAATAGAAAGTTAAACAAAATAGGTCACATGGTAACTGAATGTTCTTTTCCAAAAATGTCTGTGAGACACTGAGCATTTGTCTTCTTGATCATTAAGTTTCTATACAGTTTCCTTCCAAAGAAGGTTAGTAAAGGCCAGCACCAGCTCCTTAGGCCTCAAGGACAGCTCTTGTTACAGCTGGAGAAATGCCTGGCTGGCCGCAGGGAGGTCGATGCCTAGGTAACACTTTGAGCCTCATGTCTCTCTCTGTCTCTTAGCCTTTTGTGGCAACAATAGCAGCAGCTAACCTTTAGTGACTTTCCATGGTAGCTCACTCTGCCAAATCTAGCCAGTATTACAACCTTATCATCTTATTGGATAGAAAAAGAAGTCAGAACAAATTAGTGTATGTGGAGAGAGACTAAAAAACAATGGTCCAGAGGCCCCAGCAAGAACTCTCACACTAATTGTCATTCCCCAGAAGTGAAAGAAGGGACACGCATCCACAGCAGTACAGAGGAGCTGTGTGGCAAACTTACGTCCTTTGCCCTTAGAGATTTCAGACCCAAGTCAATTACCATCACATCCATTGTTATTTTTTTTAAACCTCAGAATGACTAAAAATAGTGATTACAGGGAATTAGGAAAACTGTTGCCAGGAAATAGTAATGCCAACAAGATATCCAGGAAATGATACTCATTAGGCTGTGAAGAGTGAAAGGAAAGAGAAAACTGGAAAGAAACAACAGAGGATTTCAGAAAGTACATCACACCCCACGTGCACACACATCAGAGAAGGCTAACTGGCTGTCAGTATGTACCACCAGAGCAGACCTTGCCCACAAAGTAACTCCCACTTACTTCAAACACTGTCATAGGTAGAATTCTGCTAGTTAGTGTTGGCTAAATGAGGTTAGATGAATAAGCAAGAATTATACTTTTTTAAGACATATATATATATATATAACAATTTTAGTAAACTATTTTTATGCAACTATGACATTCATACTCACTAAGAAAAGGTAGCGTTCTTGTGCTGATGTATTTCGAGCAGCTAATTTGAGTATCTGTCCTTCTTTTATTAGTTCATTTGAAGGATTTACAATGTCTTCTTCTTCTCCCAACATTTCATAAATCTCTAAGAGTTTCTTTAGGTTTTCCTGGAAAATTTAAACACCAAGACCAAATGTATGGAAGTTTGAACTTAATGACCTAAATCCTACTATGATTTTAGCTAAAATCTACATCATTTAGAAAGGATTGGGGACAGGCACACAACTGGGGATATTAGACATCAGTAAACTGAACCCTAAGAGAGAAGGGGAGAGGATTACTCCAGGTAACACTAGACCTGTGTAAACATTCTTTTCTGTCCACCTCTTTCCATTTACTTTGGTCTAGATCTACTGATGATATTAGGCTACTACTGACACTGGCTGACCTGAAGGCTTCCCACTCTTCTGGAGAGCACTTACCAGTTTTCTTATTGCACTATTAGAATGACTTGCTGCTGTAGATATAATTTCAAGTGATTCTAAATGGGAAAAAAAGAAAAGTAAATAAATATGCATTGTCCTTCCTGTGCTGCTAGGTAATTAAATAATTTACATAATAAAGAAATCTGAGACCAAAGGTACATGCAAGTAGCAGCGATTTTTGTTTACAAAAAAAAAAAAATACTTTCCAAAGCCCATTTGTAAGCAGATTACTTAAACTTGAAAATGTCCTTATTTTATAAAGTCATGCACAGTTATATTTAATTCGTAATAGACCTTGGAAATCAATAAGCACTATATAGCCCACTAGGTGCAAGGTACCTTGCCAGGTACTTCTATATGTACACTAGTCCCAGCTGATTTGCCACTATACTGTGGTCTGAAAATATTATATAGAAAATTCCAGAAATAATAATTCATAAGTTTTAATATAGTACACTATTATAATAGCTCTATTTTATTATTAGATAATCTCTTGTTAGGTATCCAAGTTACACAATAAACCTTATCATAGCTATGTGTGGCTAGGGGAGAAAAACCCTACAGTACTCTGTGTAACATGTAAGTGGGATTTAGTACTATCTGCAACTCCAGACATCCAGGGGCCATCTTGGAGGTATCCCTGCAGTTAAAGGGGGCTATTAAATGTCAATTCTTACGTATCTTTGAACTGTAAGTCTGTGAGCTGCATTTGGCATATAGGAAATACTGGTCAATGTCTTGCTTAAGATCATTCAGCTGTGACGTTGTAGGGTCAGATCCGAACCTTCTGATGAAAAGTACTACATTTCAACAGCTGGACTTCACTAGTTTTATGAGCAAATAAACCATTAAGCATAACCAAACTTTGGGGAAATGCGCCCACAGATCAAGCCTGGGCCAGAAGAAAGCAAATCTTCTGAAGCCAGTGTTAGAGGGTTCTGTTGCTGGGATGAGTGCAGATGAGAGCGGGGAATGGGAATTCTTGGCATGGCCATGGTGGATGCTCCAGGACTGCTACTAAAGAGCTGTGGAAGCCAAGGGCCCCCACTGGAGCCACCCTAGGGAACACCTCTCAGCCCTGAATCATGTCCTACTTCTCCCTTTTCTTCTGTCCTGTGAACTGGCCTTGATCCTGTTACCACAACAACCCAGTTCCTTCTGGACTACAATTTCTGTTGTCTTTGCACTGCTGAACAGAATGTGCTTTTGTTGCTTCCTTTTTTACTTTTGGGGCCTCTGAAAACCCTTTTTTTGTGATTTCCTTAGAATTTTAAGTAGCAATGGGAAGTCAAAAAGAGTAATACAATGTTCTACTATGCCAGTTTTCTTGCCTTTAATATAGATATCTTAGGGAAATGCAGTGTTTAAATATCAAAACCAGTGCATTTCTGTTTAGATGATGGGGAACTACTCAGATTTGGGCAGTTCTATGCATCCAAAACAGGACGGGAAAGACAAAGTAAGATGGGCTGAGGCCACCACAGGGGATGAGTTTGAGGAAGAACAGAGGATGCACCATCAAACACCACTATAACTGCCCCTGAAACCCAGCGCTGAGGCCACACGGGGCAAGGGAAAGGGGCAGTACACTGCAGAAGGGGATGGAAACGGGGGCGTTCCTGAGGTCACTGAGTCACTGGCAGGGTGGACACAGTCTGTGTCAGGAGAACACCGAGGCTCTGAGACCAAAGAGATACTTCGTATTTCTCACCTCTTATCCCAAGGGCCACTCAAGTAAAAGGCAAGGAGTTACAAGGGGAACGAAACAGTGTCAAGGACTGTATACCAGCACTCTGGGGTTTGCTGAGTATCAGGCCATTTCTATGAACTTTCTCTCATCTCCTTTATGGCTGATTGATTTTTTAGCCTGCATCAGAGGGCAGGGTGCGGCTCAGGGGCAGAGGATGGATTTCACGAGAGGCCAGAGTCTAATCCCCAGCACAAAAAAAGGAAAGGAAAGAAAAACTGCATGACAGAGCTAAGTATGACTGAAACTCATGGGTCTTAATAAGCCTGTCATTTAAATCTAATGAAAAAAATTAAAGACAACTAACAGAATTGTAATAATTCTCCTGATACAGACTGTTCCACCCTTGGGGAAAATGCTATTCATTAGACAACAACAAGCAGCGTTTCCTGATATAACTCTGAGTAGGTGAAGCCAGCGTGGCTGAGGTTTTTTTTTAACCTAGTAACTGTCATTTTAGCTTCCTTGGCTTGCATTCCCCTAGCTAATTAACCAATCCCAAATGCTGTGTTCCTCCTGGGAGGAGGTAATTGAGGCCTGCTGTTCTCAATGTCTCTAAGACTATTGTTTTCTGCTTCACAGTTGGTGATTATCATGCATCCAGAGGGCACCTGGGATTCCGGATTTGCATGGCTCTGAACTTGTGTTCTGGCTGGAGAGTGGCCTGCCTAACAGAGGGGACACTGTGGAAGAAGCTTTCCAGTGTGCTGATGGTGGTGGAGACAGCACTGTTTCACCATAGTAGCCACAGGACATCTCTGGCTTTAGAACACAGGCTGTGCGGCCACAGAGTCTCCCCACTGTGGAGGGGGAGAGAAGCAGGCATTTACTTTTTGCGTCGCTCCAGTCGGGGGAGTCCGAGGGCAGCTTCCTCAGGTAGTCCTTCAGAAGCATCTCGTAGCGGGGGATCCGCTGCACGGGCTCCAGCATGTGGTGCTGCAGAGTCAGGCTCCCACAAATCTCCTGCTTCTGCAATGAACAAGGGTTCCAAGACACATTTCAAAATTGGGCTGGCGGGCCTCAGAAGTCACAAGTTTGCTATGAAGGGTAGTTAAGCATTAATGACACATGGGGTGCCACCTCCTAAAATGTTCATTTCTGAACATTTTAGCCCAATCTACAAAATCATAATTTATGTGGAAAGAGCTGGAGAATAAGCACTTAAAACAAACAAACTCATATTCTTATAAAATGAAAATTTGGAGACCACTAATCTAGTGGTCTCCAAGAAGAGAAAGGAAAAATCAAGCAGAATTTTAAGCAAGAAAACACCAGGTTGCTGGCAATGACTTCAGGTAGTCACAGCTAGGCTTTGTGAAGACACATTCTGCAGATTTTAAAAGATCACCTATTTAATGAGGTTCCCTAGGTCTAACTGTATGAAATGACTCTGACTTAGCAGAAACAATTTCATAAGATGTTCATTAATGTCATTTCCTCTGAACTAAAACCAAGACTCCCTGTGGGAGAATGATGAGATCTGGGTATCTTGTTATTTGTCTGAGAATTTTTTGTCAGGTCAAGGCATTCTTCTTCATTAGAGACCAAACTCCATTTTGCAGACAAAATTAGCCTGTGCCACTTGCTTTCAGTAAGCTGCTGTTACCACAAGAAAGGAAAAACAAGATGTGCTGTTGGCTGTGGTCCATGTTACACAAAGCAGACACCCCATTAAAATACTCACTGAGCTCACACCAAGACCATGGCACTGCATTAAGACATGGTTTCTGTCTGTGTCCAAAGCACACAAGCAGCAACAGGCTTCACAGGCAAGGGGACACTCAGCGACTGCTCTGATGAGTGCAGGCTTTGGTGGGAAGAAAGTGGAGGAAGACAGGGAGCGGGCATGATAGCGGTGCAAGACACATATTCAGGGAAGTGACTGAGCATAAACAAGATAAGCATAAGGACCCTGGGAATGAGGAGGAAAAGGAACACATGGTCATAAGGTCAGGGACCGCCAGTTTCACACCGACTGTAGATGCCTACTGACACAGGGGAGCAGATTATAGTGAGGCAGACCTGCTACTGCTGCAGCAAGGCTCTGGGAAGGAAGTGGGGAGACTTAGTCTGGAAGCTGCTGTTGTTGGGGGAGGTAGGGGGGAACAAACTTACTAAGGGCCTGAAATGGCCAGGGAAGCTGAGGAAGTAGCTTCCTTTAATAACATACAAGATTCGTTTTACAGATTTAATTACCTCATTTGATTTTTCCCCAACAGATCTATTAAATCTGTATCTTCAGGAAAATACTATTAGTGCCAAAATTTTTATACGAAGAAACTTCTTCCCAGAGAAATCAGAAGCATTTCTTAAGGTTGAGTGACCACACACAACAGATCAAGCTTGGTTTGTGGGTTTCTAGTCTTCTGCTCGCCACAGCCCAAGGCATTTATTTTTGCTATGGATAAGACAGACAGTGCGGAGTTTGATACAGCAGCATCACCATCATCTTTTAGTAACTACTGTGCAGCAAGCAGTGTGTTAAGTAAGCACCTTGAACAAACACATTATCTCTCAGACAAATGAACATACCCAGAGAATGAGGAGGTCAGGTATGATGACACACTTGTGTAGCCCCAGAATTCTAGGAGGCTGAGGCAAGGGGCTCACAAGTCCAAACCCATGCCTAGGGAACTCAGAGACTTAGCAATACTCCACCAAAAAATATAAACATGCTGGTGATGTAGCTCAGGGATAGAAAGCCCCTTGGTTCGGTCCTCAGTATTGGAAAAGAGGAGGAGGAGACAAATCAAAGATAAAGCTGTGATTAATGAGAAAATAATGGTGTTGTCTAACCCAGTCACAGGCAGAATTGACACCTATGCTGCAGAAGGCATGAAAAGATGGAACACACACACACACACACACACACACACACACACACACACACATACGGAACATGTCGACTCCATCTTGACAAGGTCTCCTGCCTTGGGGATTGGGGGACAGAGGCCTTGCCTGACGCTCCCCAAGCATGTTTGGCAGGACAGCATTGAGGATGGGACTGTGGAAGGCAAAGCTCGGCTGGGCCTGTGTTTCAGAATCAGCAGGGAGAGCAGAGGAAACAGTCCAGGAGTCAGTGTGCAGAAAGGCACAGGTTCAAGCCTGAGAGAAAGATGTTACGGGAGAAGTAGAGAGGCAGACAAGACTGGGTCAGGATGCTGGTGAGGCCTCCCTATTAGACACAGCCACCAAACTGGGTAACACTGGCAGACCACCCTTTCAGCATTTCAGGAATCGATCGAGGGTGTACAATCTAAAGAGCATGTATGCTTTCCAAGCCCCACAGTGGAAACAGTGAGACTGTGGTGCTCGGGCCCAGGCAGACTCAGCCTCCTGCCCCCATCAACGCAAGGAAGTCTGTCCAGGGCCACTTGGGCTGCAACCCTTGCGAGTCCCTGATGAGGTCGGGAGAGAGGCACCTTCAGACAGGACGCTGCATGATGCACACAGCCTGGCTGTCATAGTGGCATCTCGGAGCAGAGTGCAGGAAAAGCCAGCAGAAGTCACAGCTGGAGAGGGGACGCGCTGTTTTGGCTGAGACTCCTAATGGTCAGCTTGCTGCCGAGACTACACGTGCACAGGCCTTGTGAAAAGACCCTGTGAGCTGCTCTAACCTGGTCCCTGGCCCCACAGCCAGGTCCTTCAGCACAGGACTGAACTCTGCTGGTTCTAGCAGGGAGCACCCCTGCCCATCGCTGCCTGGCTCCTAACCGCACAAGCGGAGGCTCATGAAACACACAGGACTAGCCAACAAAATCTTTAGTAGAGACAGCAGCAACTGCATACCATGGGGCAAAATATTTAATAGATTTAGTTTAACCAAGTTTTAAAAAAAGTAAGAAAATGCAGTGTAATCATAACCACTTTTTTTTTTTTTGAGATAGAATCTTGCTATGTAATTCAGGCTAGGCTTGAACTTACCATGTAGCCCAGGCTGGCCTCAAACTTAAAGCAATCCTCTTGCCTCAGCCTCCTGAGTTCTGGGTATCACAGGCATGCGCCCCCAAGCCCAGACTACAACTACTTTCAGTAGGGGAAAATCAGAATTCAGTATTGCTATGCTAGATTATCAGAAAAGTTCATGAGTCAGCAAAAAATGATGACACACCCAAAAACATAGTAAAGTATGACCTATAATAGAGAAAAAGGCAGATGACAGAAATTATCCCTCAGATGTTAGATGTGACAAACATTTAAATGTGACTATTATGAATATGTTCAATGAAATGAAACATACATGAAGTAGTCAAGGAAAATGTGAGCACAATGAATGCACAAACAGCAATTTTCAAAGGGAGACAGACATGACTAAAAAAGAGAAAAACCAAATAGAAAAAAAAAAAACACCCTAGAGTAATAAAGTATAACTAAAATGCAAAATTCACCACAGGAGTTTAACAGCATATTTGAGAAGACAGAATAATCAGAGAACCTAAAACTTTAAAGAGAAGTAAGCCATCTCATAAACATGTAAGATAACAGCAAGAATACCAAATATCAACATTTATGCATCAGGTGTCACAAAAGAGAAGGAAAAGGACAGAAAATATTCAAAGAAGTAATGGCCAAAAACTTCTCAAAATGATATTTAAAAATAATGCACCAATTGCACACAAGGAATGTAAGCATTATGCACTGCAAACCTGTATAAAAAACAAAGGAATCCAAAGTGTGGGGGAGGCAGGGGTCGGAAAGGGATGCTCTGCGCAGGTACCTCCTCCACACGAGGAGCGGAAACATGTGCTGAACGTGTGTAATCTAACACTACATAAGAAACCTTATGCAAGCCGCTCAACCAATCAAAAGCGGAGTAAGACACAAAAAGACCCACCCTGTCTACATCATTATTTCAATTGTTGAAAGCCAATAACAATGAAAACCTTGATACCAGCAAGAGAAAAATGAATCATTTTCACACAACAGCAGTAAAATTAAAGTCTGACTTCTCATGTGAAACAGTGGAGTAAAAGCAGTGTGCAGCACGTTGAAAGTGCTGGGGAAACCCGGAGAAGTCTGTATCCTGGAAAGCTCTCAGTTCAATGTAAGGATGAAACAAGGATAATCTCAGATAAAAACAAGGTCAGAATTCACTGCTAGCTGATTTACTACCTTAATAATTATTGTTTAACCTTCGAGGCACTGTAATAATGGCCAATATATGTTAACATAAAATTATAGACAACGTTTTCTCATGTCCTGAACTTTTAAAACTACATAAAATTGTGTGAAACAATTACAGCACTATATTGCTAGGTTTTAAAACAATAAAAGTGAAATACATACGACACTAATAGCGCAGACCATGAAAGAGGGACCAGAGCTTTATTGGAGGAGCTATATTTCAGCAGAATTAAGGGTAGTATAATCTGAAGTAGGTAGTGATAAATCAGTATGTATATTATAACCCAAGAGCAATCAGCTAGGAGCATAACCCCAAAATAGTTTAAGAGGAATTAAAATGGTGCCATAAAAAGCTATTTATGTAACACAGGAGAAGGCGGTTAAGAAGAAACAGAATTCCAACTCCAAAAGTATTATGTGATGTAGCTAATTCTTCTTCAATATTTAAACTATATCAAAGAATAAGTTACTAACAATATTGGATTTTAACTACAGAATTTACTATGGTAGTCTGAAAATAATTATCTAGGTTTGGCATAAAAGAAAATCAGGATATAGACATAAAGTGACAAATTTGTCCCTCCCAAACCTCAGGGTTCCTAGCAATAATTTTTCACATTTGCCTATATTCTGCTGAACATTTCAACCTCATTATGGGAGAGAAGCAGACTTAGAATTCACTGTACAAATTTAGGTAGGCCCAAATAAAGCTAGCCTCTGCTGGATGCAAAACCAGAAAAAGAATTTATCATTATGGGCTTGGGATTTAGCACAGCAGCAAAAGTGCCTGCCTGACAAGCATGAGGTCATGAGTTCGATCCTCAGTACCGAAAAAAAAAAAAAAATTTACTGCTAATTATGTCGCATGTACTATTTTAACTCTGCAAAGACCTTTGCATAATTCAGAGTAGAATGGGTTTTGCCTAGGTATCTCAGACAAATCTCTACCTCTCAAGTTGTACATCTAGAAGACCATATAATTGGTCCCTAAACAAAACTGTCCCATTACCTGAATCTCTTCAATCACTGATTTGAACTGGGGGATTCGTTCTGTCATGTTTTTAACCAATTCCATTGCGTTATCAAATCCTTTCACATACTCTCCATACATCTTGAGGAATGGCGCCAGTTTTTGAAGAATGTCTCCAATTCTAGGAGTGGTTTCCCTATATCAAATATAGAAACAAGTCATTAGGATTTCCTATGCAATGACTGGATTCTACACCAGGAGTCAAAATGAAGTAAGCACTTTTTACGTCCACCCTCTGCTTTATCAGATCCACTTTGCTGTGAGACTGGAAGAGAATAAAGCACCTTTTGAAAGGGTGTTCAGTACAGAGAGATGCTTGGCATTCTCAAAGCTCCAGGTTATCCTTCTGCCTTATCTTCATTAGTCAAAAGACAGTTTGGAGAGCAGAGATGAAATCCTTCTCAGCTAAACTGTATCACAGCTGCTGTCAAGTCTTTAACATACAAATTCGGCACAGTGCCTAGCTGTAGCTGTGTGCAGTAGTATTTCTACTTCAATTTAAAGGCTAAAAACAGTGCCTGGATGGATGCCTTAGATGTAGTATTTCTATCTTCTCCTCTTACCATTCTTGCATTCGTTTCTCCAGCTCTGGCAATAGGAATTTACTATGGAAGGCATGTATTGATGAAATGTTAGAAAAGATTTTATTCACCATCTCTGCTGGAAATGAGCCTCGGTTTGCTTCTTCCAATAGTTTACAATAAAATACCTGAGTAAAAGAATAAACCAAACATTACTTCAGATTTGTTGGTCAACTAGCTCTCAGTCAGGCCCACAGTGAGTGGGCTCTAAGTTAACTTTTGTTGAATAAATGGAGAAGTCAATGGTTCAAGAAACCAATTTTTATTTGAAATGTAGGAATGGTTCTATGATTTGGAAGAACTATGTATAAAAATTAGGACACATTGATTCTAATTTAGGGTATGCGCCTATCTGGTGGATGTTAAGGTAAAGAATACACCTTCTATGCCAGAGGAGTCCAACTAAAGTTAAAAGGATTTGCCCTTCCAATGTTCAGCTAGAGCTAAGGGATATGAAACATTTTCTATATACACAGACAGTTATTGTAGTACTTTTTATTCTGTTTATGTTTCAGATGACTTCTATAGCACTTACTACATGCTGCTCTTTATAGTTTGTTTACATAAATCAAATTTTTCCTATTAAAACTGAATATACCATGGGAAAGGAAAGTGTGTGATTTAGTTTCTACAGTGGAACTGGTGGCCAGTTAATGAATAAAAGTGCACTGTGGGTCTAGAGGTTCACTTGTTACTTAGTAAATAATAATACATGATAAAACACAATTTTTAGGGAGAGAAAATCTTCTGTACATAGTAACAGGTACGTTATAGACAACCAACAGAAACATCTTGCAGTCTTAGCGCTACTCCACTAGGGCTACTATACCTCTTCACTGCAATTCTGCTAAATATAGGCATAAGGAGGTCTGTTCCTTCATAATTGCCAGATGGTTGTTAATTTTCTAAATTCTCCTCCTCTGCATTTTCTTGGGATGCAAAAAGAACACAAAATTATTTCCTTAAACATGCCAGAAGATAGGGTACTACAGTAATTAAGATTCCAAAAGTCGAAGAGGTCAGCAACAGTAGCCCAGTTAATTTGGGGGGGGGGGGATAGAGAGAGAAGCGGGGAGAGGGATGGAGAGAGAAGGCTTATTTACTAAGAGTGGAAAACACTTTTCTTTTATAAGAATACTACAAAGTTTCAGGTCTACAATTCCCATATGGAAGAAAAGATACTTGAAAGGCCCAAACTCCATAAGAATTGGTTTTGTTTTATAGTGAAATTTCTTGAGAAATAGTTATTTGAGCCACAACCTCCCTATTTCAAAGAACATAAGCCCTCAACTGCTCCTCGAAGAAAACCCTACCAAGCAGGTGACTCACTCCTGGCAAAAGAATACCCAGTTAGGCCCTTGAAATTCCAGTGTTCCACTGGCCGGGGAGGGGAGGGACTGGCAAGGGAGAACAAGGGAGGGGAGGGACAACCAACACTCAAGCATGGCATTCTCTCTCTCTCTCTCTCTTTTTTTTTTTTTTTTGGTCTTTTTGAGACAGGGTCTCTCTGTACAGTTTGGGCAGGCCTTGAGTTCACTTTGTAGCCCAGGCTGGTCTTGAACTCACAACGATCCTCCTCCCTCAACCTCCCAAGTGCTGGGAGTACAGGCGTGAGCCACCACACCCAGCTAAAATTGTACTGTTTTTTTTCCCCCTTTTTTGGTACTGAGGATTGAACTTACAACCTCAAGCTTGCAAGGCAGGCAGGCACTTAGGCCACTGAGCTAAATTCCCGGCTCATTCTCTTTTAACAAGAGGAATCTGTATTAGCAGGCAATCTACCAAGTGTCACTTTTGTTTTGTTTTGTTTTTTTGTTTTTTTGAGACAAGTTCCCCCTATGCAGTTCAGGCTGGCTTTGAGCTCACTTTGTAGCCCAAACTGGTCCAGAACTTGCAAGGATCCTCCTGCCTCAGCCTCTCAAGTACTGGGATTATGGACGTGTGCCACCACACTCAGCTCCAAGTGTCACTTTTTAATTGTTGGAATAGGTTTAAAAAGCTTTTAATAGTTATTCTCATGATGCATTAAAAAATTTCTTGAAATCATCACATTTTCACCATGATGGATAGTATAATATATGATAAAATAGATTACACATGCAAAAAATATTGACTGGACAATGTTATGCCAGGCACTCCATTAAAATGTTTCATGTGAGGTTGTGCAAGTTAACTCAAAATCCTCTGACTGCACCCGCTAAGGTCATTTCCCCAGTACTGAACAGCAAACAAGACAGACAAAATCAGCAATGTATTTATGTCAGCACTAGCATTGCTGGTATCTTACGTAGATAATAATAACATACCCTGTGCCCCAGGGCCACAGGAAATGGCCAATGATCAGACTAATGTTTAATGTTACAGGATACAAAGTCATTTTGTGACTTATACAGGGAAAACACTACTCTTAAGGATTACAAAATGTTTGTATCAAGTGAATTCACCAATGCAGCTGAAAAGTATAAAAGGTTCCCTTGAGCAAAAGCTCTTATTCATCAAATAACAGGCTTGTCTGGCAGTGTTTAAATCATCTAAATTACTGGGTTAAAATGATATACAGTACCAATTCGTAAAATGATTCTGAGGGAAGACATTACCTGATCTAAGAGGTCAAGTCGGTTGACGTAAGCTCTTTCCGTAAGCAGAAGTTCATTGGCTATTTTGTGAAGTTTTTGCTCATTTGTTTCCTAAGAATAGAACACATATCCACACATTAGAAATGGAACTTGGATACTGTTTCTCAAGTAATGCACACCTCACCAAACAGCCTGATCCAAGCCTCCCTTCCTTTTGGCCATCAAGGAATATCTGTGAGCTGAGTATCTTTGATTTGAAACACAGCTTAATTTTGCAACAGCTAACACTACTTGGTCCTCAAAACACTTTTGCTTTTTCTCAGTTCCTGACACTATGTTTCCTATCTCTCCTAGGTTTTCACTGTTCTTTCAAACACGTGGTCTGATTATCAGCTCTGTGCACACGTTTTGCTGTTTAAAGGAACATTTTATGAAGAATTTCACAAATTAAGAGTTAGTAGTGAGACAAATGCCCATGTGTCCATGTGTTTGAGAGAACAGTGAAAACCTAGGAGAGGTAGTCAACTATCAACTCATTGTTAATCTTGTTTTACATCTATGCACCATCCCATCTCTCCATCTATATTATTTTCAATTAAATCTCATTTTAAAATTTCTATTATACATATTTATTTAACCCTTGGTTGTATGGCCTTACTACTTTTGTGATGACTTGGACTTTTTGCCCTTATTAGCTGCTCCAACCCCTGTGCCTGCTCTAATACTTGCAACCAAAAAACTGGCATTTAATAAAGTAATTGTTGAATGAACTGTATTATGAAATAAATGAAGAATATTATTAACTATTGCTGTTCATTCATTACTACTCTGACATGGGGTTAAACTAATACCAAATTCATCCTTCCTGGAAAACTTCTCCCTTTATCAAACCCCCAAAGTTCCCGTCCTGTTCACGGAGCATCTCTGTCCAGTTCACCTGCTTTAGAAGCTTGGACCTTGGCCCCCTCCTATGAGATGAAGCCAGCTTCCAGGCCCTCCTGCTCATGACAGCACATCTTAGCATTCACCCTTTAAATCTGCATCACTACCATCTGTTCTGCACACCAACTGTCAAGCTCAGGTCAATCAGAAGCTTCCAAATGGTCTGAGTCCAACTTGTTTGGGGCTCTCCCCAACCTTGCATATGGTTGTATGAGGAATCTTTCTAAAACTTTGGCATACAAGATCCTACTTCCCACAGCTACCAGCAGTCCTCCTCTCACTCAGAGAAATACTCACACCTCTATACTCACTTCCACCTACTTCTCACTGGATGTTTGAAAATATCTTTCTCTCCAAACATACCAGCTTGATACATCTTTCACCACTATCCAAATGTGTTCCTGGCCATCTCTGAGCCCCACTTCTTTCCATCTTTTCAGCCTTGCACATGCTTTTGCTGTATTTCTTGAGGCATACAAAACTTACTTTTCTTTGACTAGCTGCTGAATTTCCATTTCTTGTCAACAGAGGTTTCTTCAAGTGTTTAAACTCCTTAGGCCTTAGTCCTAGTAGCGTGCATTTTATTTCTTTTCTGTTTTTTGTTTTTTTTGAGACAGGGCCTCACTACATAGTCCAGCTGGCCTCGAACTCTCGGTAATCTCCCTGCCTCAGGTTCTCAAGTGTCTGGATGACAGGTGTGCACCACTGCACCCAGCTTGTTTCCTGAGACAGTCACAGAAACAGGCTTCCCTTTGGGCTCCACAAGAATGAGGGTCATTCTCATAACTACAGAGAGGAAGCCAGTGGCCTTGTCATTGATTTTGTTTGACTAATTGTTATTTGTGGCTGGAAACATCCTGATTGATACAGGAAACTCAAATACAATGATCTGTATAGTAAAGTCTATTTGAAAACTTTTAAATAATTTTTAAACAATTAATAGGAGAAAAAGACAAAAGTACTCAGTGAGATAAAAATATAACTTTCAAACTACAGTAAGTGAACTCAGATGCATCGTAAATATATTATGAAACCCATCAACATTTCAGAGGGATACGCTATCCTTTGTGCTCACAAAAAATATCTTGCTGCATCAACACGACAAACTCTGTTTTTTTAAAGACTGATTTACCAAGTCATAATTACCAACAGTATACATACAATCATGTAACCACTAGCACAATGAACATAAAGGACGTTCCCAGCAAGCCTAAATGTTTCTTTCCAGGCTTCCCATGCACCTAACCCTGAACTGTCCCTGTCCAGAACCATGTGTAAATAAATCAGTGCCCAGGTCTTCTGCATCTTCTGTCATGTAACAAGATGCATCTGAGACCAATCGATGTTGTTAGTAAGCAGCAGAAGTTTGCTCTTCTTAAGCTCTCAGCTTTATTCTAATAGTGCTGATGTCTGCTTCTACCTCTGACAATACATTTAAAGAAAGCAGTCCAGCAGAACTTTCACGTTGATAACATAACCCTTATAAGCCAGGAAACATGTTAACCAACACATTACATCGTCTCCTACGGCTATGTAATGAAGTCCCAGAGGTTTCTCTTTCCACAGTCCTATAGGATCTCAAATAGGAAATGTGTAAGAAACAACCTTTTGCTGACAATAAAGCTTATATTAGCTGATTTGGCAAATTGTGGGTATCCTGGTCCTATTTTGCAAAATCTGAGAGATGACAGCAGTTATTAGCAAAAGCTGTGCCCTTCCCGAAACACAGATGGGCCAATACACACATTAGGTGCCTGACCTTGCCAGAGCCAAAGCAAAGTTAGCAAAAATAAGCTTGCTGACAGATACTTTAATCACTTGCTCACACAGAGGTTGCAGGAAAGTTACAAGGGATTTTTGCAGAGGAGATAAGGAAATCCTGAACTCACAGAGCCTCACAGTTATACCACAGTAAGAACAGCTAACACTTACTGCTCATGTATGTGCCAGACACAATAAGTACTTTGCATAAAATGACTAATCTGCAGAGTTCTACAACCATTTGTATTGCTATATTACAGGCAGCACGTACACACACACACACCTCAAGAAAAAAAAAAAAAAATCCCAAAGCTTAAGGAGGCCCTGTGACTTACCCTAGGTCACAGAGTGTCAAGGTGACTACATCAGTTTCCAGTCATATAGAGGAGCACATGTTTCTAGGTCACTCCTCAGATACCATTCCCTCTCACCTTTGTAACAAAAAACAAGACTGTGAGGTGTGCCTAAGAGGAGACAGATTGGCCAAATGTCAACTATCTGCTTACTAAATCCACCCAGAAATGCAATGTGGGGATTACTATGCACTTTATTTTTACTATGTAAAAATAAATTCTTATTTTTTAATTTATTTTTCAATATAAATTCTATTTAAGGCAGTTTTTTTTTTTTAACATTTTAGTAATTATCAGGTTACAAAATTTGGCCATTTTAATGTAAAAATAATATAATAGCTTTCAACTTTAATAGATTATTTACCAAAATGCACCTATGAATACATTTATGGAGAAACAATTTATTTGCATACATGGGCCTTTGAAACATTATACATACACACACACACACACATACATATACACACTTTTCGGTGGGAAGGACTATAGTTCATGGTTCCTTACTCCCTCTCGAAGTAGAAATGCAGTAGAAACTAGAATTTCTCCCCTCTACACTGGATTGTAGAAACTCTTAACCCCAACTCCTATGTCCAGGAGCTGCCCAGGAACCATCATCACCCAACACTGGGCCCTTAGACCTTGAGGGAGAGAATGCTGCACAGAAAGGCCAAAAGACTTCACAAGATGGGCCCTGCCATGCTGCATCTGGTCTGCTAATGAAGAACCCATAAAATCCAAAGGACAGGATTCAGAAAGGTCCTTAGAGGTGAACATGTGGAGCTTTCTGGCTGGCAGTGCAGTCTGGAGAGCCCCAGAAGTTGTACACGTCTCCTCCCATCTCTCACCCGATGCCTATCTGTTACAATTTGTGTCTGGATGTCCTCCCAAAGCTTCATGCAGTTGAGGGTGAGCTTTTCAGAGGTGACTGAATATAGAGTTTGTGACTGATTCATTTCTAGTGTGGGGATTAAAGGAGTAAATGCTACACCCACCCTAGGGCAGACAGTCTGCATACAATGTGAGGGACAGAAAGTCTTTTCTCGCACTCCTCCTCTTTTGCTCTTGTTGCTTTTGCTGATCTCCACTACCATGAACTTTGCCATGCCACCCTGCCTTGGGGCCCACCAATTATGGGCTGAAACTTCCACAAACTGTGAGCTAAATAAAACTTTCTTTCCTAAATTTTGGGCATTAGGTATTTTGGGTCAGCAACGAGAGGAAAGTAACTAAGACACTATCTCTAGCATTTGCAAATCTTTATAGCAGTGAATACGTTTCCATGAGATCTGAAAGCTGCTTAGGTACATCAGACACATTTGCAAAGGGGCCTTGTGCACCCTCATTTGAGGCCTGCAGGTCAGTTGCATAGGTGCAACCAACTGGGGCTGGGATTGGCATCAAGGGAGGGGCAGTCTCAGTTTGGAACCTGCATCCATGGGCCTGAAGCTTTCTCCTGCTAGAATTTGCTGAAATCAGTTAGGATGCCAGAACTGGCATCCTAGCTGCAAAACGGTGGGAGAGGAGAGAGCTTTGCTGCTGTAGTGATGCAGAGGTTGGCTGTGTTGTAGTGCTGGTTTTTCCATCTGGATAATCAGGCTGTAGTAGATTTGTGTATTAAGAACCAAGTGGTGTTTCAAATGCTGTCACGAAGAGGCTGTACCCTAATTTTTTAAATTGGAAAGTAAATACTGTTTCTTAGTATTTGCTACTTCAAAATCATATAACGCCTACTTTATTCTTAGTGCTTTACTAAGAAGTCTTTTATTCTTGTAATCTGCTGAGAAACAGTAATGGTTATAAAACACAGTTAACAATTTAATTTTCTTCCATTACAACCTAGTAAAAAGGGTTGACACATCAAAATAACTATAATTAGGAATTATACATAATTTATAATTTTTAATAAACCACATTAAGAAACATCCTACTGTTGATTTTCTCTTTAAAAGGATTTTTTTCCACACTGGTAAATTCAAGAGACTGCATTCATATATTAAAAGCTGCCCCAGGGTTTTGTCTCAAAACAAAAACACATGATGTATATCTAAACTACCA